ACAGCAGCGGTTTCATATTACTAGAGATTGAGCACCACTCCTGGAATATATAAATACTTGATTTAAGAATATCTAATTATGCACTATTTAAAACATATGAATCTCTTGCAAGGTCCATATCTATTGTTGAAAAAAATATTTTGAAAGTCATAGAATGATGTATATAAATCTACTATATGTGAATTCTAATTTAATTTTGTGAAATCAAAATATTTAACTGGATAGATAAAGTATAGTGAATAATGATAAAGATCCTATTCTATCATATATATATATATATATATATATATATATATATATATATATATATATATCTAGTGTGGGAGGAAGAAGACAAACTACAAGTTCATCCCTACAAGCCTGTTTCATTGTTGTGCACTCATCAGAGGATTTAATGAGAATAATCTTTACCATCACTTATATACAATATAATCTAATTTATGCAGTGCGAAATTTAACCATAGTTGTTGCATAGGAGGGCTTTGCTACACGCAAAGACAACAACATGACAGAAATGTACATTGGACGCACAGAGAATGACTTCAAAAGAAGATGCAGAAACCACACCACATCATCCCGCCGTGCTAAACACAGAAACTCCACCGAACTCAGCACGCACATCTGGACCCTCAAAGATGACAACATCAAACACTTTATTTCCTGGCACATTCTCTAATCATACTCACTGTACAACCGCTCAAGTAAAAGATGTAATCTTTGCCTCAAAGAAAAATTCCTTATCATCTGCCAACCCAAACTATCAACACTTAACAAACTTAATGAACTCGTGGTGATGTGTAGACCGTTATTATTAAAGATGGGATATATTTCTTTCTTGATGTTCTCTGTGTCTCTAGGTGTGGCATTAGTGAATGCTAGTCTGTTGTGTTGGTAAAGTCCTGCGTTTATATTAAGGTCCTGGAGTTGGGAGAGCTGAAAGCTTCCCATAAGTTCACATGTTTTAGCGCTGTTGTTAGTGCTGTCGCAAAGTCCAACCGAATTAAAGATTAAAACACTGAACATGATGAGACAACTTTTAATATCTTCTCTTCGACTTCGGTTTTCTCTTGACCTCGTGGTCGCAGATCACATGACCAAGTGACTTAGTGGGGGTGGGGTGCCTCCTACATACTCCACCTCTAAAACGAGATGTCCTCCTGGACATCGAAATAGTGGCTTAGTCTGCATTACATTGTAACAACTTCCAACATCTGAGGAACAAAGACTACTTTGAAGGATGATCAGACCTTCACAGTAGAATCCTACTCACTAATTCGAGAACCAATAATGACTTAATACTAACTACAGTGTTCTTGAGCACTGTCTTTAAATTGCTGAACAATTTACCACTGAAGAAGTCTCTGTTTTCCTAGACAAAGACATTCCATTTTCAACTAATTTAACCAAAAATTGCTGCAGAATATAGGAAAGATATCTGTTTACAAACAAGCCTTTTGTTATTTTAATGTACCAGCCACGGAAGCAGAAGAACTTCATTTCAAGAGCTAACAAGCATCTGGTTAGCACATTAACATCAATAGGTGACATCAGGGATACCTCTCTATTAATGTTAGCAGGGGGATGCAACCACAAAACAGTTCTGACTCAATTCTTGTTTTGTGATATGTCACAGAAAAATGCGACCTTTTAATCTGAGTCTTATTGAAACGAAGGAGTGTCGGAAGCTTAGTGGTCACCAGCGTTTTATCTATAGTCAGGAGGCAGCTCGCCAAAAAACGATTTTCGCTAAACATTTTGAGTTTTAACTTTGGCTTCAGAAGGCCTTCACTGTAGTACCATCTGCTGTCTTCAGGTTTTGGGAGAGAAGGACATGGTTCCAGTGCTTTATTCCATACCATGGTCTGATAGTTTGCTCGCTTTATGTGGAGAATCAGTGCATCTTGAGTCGGAGGTAGGGCGTCAAGATCTTTCTTGGATTTGCGAAACGCTGCTGCTCTTTCTTTATTGATTTCCACCTCTTGTGTTACCAGATTGTAGAGTTTGCATACAAAGGCTTCAGCTTTGGCAAGAACGTCAGCACTGATTTGGCTTTCTTCTCCAAGGTGTTCCAAGAGATCATGTGCATCTTCGAAGACTTTCCATGCCAATGCCTTGCCCACACCATAGAACTAGCTTGTCTTATCACAGCCAGTAATTGCATGAAATGCCAGAAGCGACTTCCTCTTCTCCTCGGAGAGCGGGATTCTGTGAACAGGTATGTAACACCTTTGTCTTGATGTACCCGCAAACATCCATATCTCTTGACAAAGGTGCTCTCGGTGTGCCAAAAGGAGGACAAGAACATCCGTATCACGACACAAAATGTTGACTTGCTTGTACCCTCTTGCTGCTGCGTCTTGGGCATGCAGTACTATTCTAGTATCTGCCTCCTCATGATCTGATGTGAGCTCTCTTACATCTTGTCGTGATGTGTCAGATGACCACACCTTCAGTGTCTCCTTGAAGCCTCCATTGATCACCAGCTCTCGCCCAGGAGGTG